CTTCCTGGAGTCAGCCACTGGTCAGTTTCAGCAGCGGCTGAATCGGGGTCACCTGGGGTGCTGCTGGTAACCCTGCAGCCCCGAGGGGCAGCGCTAGGGGACCTACCCAGCAGCACTCTAGCTGCTCTGCCTCCGGCTTCCCCCATTCAGGGAAACTGGGGGCAGAGCAGCTCCAATGGTCTGGCTGCCTGGAGCACTTCCGGGGTCCTGATGGTGCTGGGCCATCAGGAGTGCCGGACCATCAGATGCCGGACCATCGGAGTTTTACTGTATAAAGGTGTAAGGGACTCATCAGCTGTGTCTACACCGCAGGCTTCTTGTGCAAGAATTTTTTGCGCAAAAGTTATTGTGCAAGAGCACGTCCACACTGCCATGTGCTTTTGCACAAGAGACGTGATCTTGCGCAAAAAGGCTTATTCCTCATGGGGAGAGGAATAACTCTTGCGCAAAAAGTCCTCTCTTTTGACAATCTACTGTAAACTTTCTTGCACAAGACGGGCTAATAGTGTGGACGCTCCACAAGTTTTTGCGCAAGAATGACTGTTCTTGCACAAGAAGCCTACAGTGTAGACATAGCCCCCATGTAATACTTATAATTCAGTGAAACTAGATCATTTAATTTCAAAGATTGCTAAGAGCCAATTAGATGATAATTCAATAAATTGTTGCTCAATAATTATAAAACTAAATTTCACAGCTGATTAGGAAGTTGGGCTCTAAATGAAAATGAACATTAGTTACCAGATTATTTATGCTAAATATAGCTGTGTGGTATTAACTGATATCTAATACTTGTTTTGTATAAATACTTCCTTTTAAACATTATTTTAATTGCTTTATATCAAATATAAACACAAAATGAAACACATACAAATATATGTACAAAATAAAAATAAAATAGAAATAACAAAATTCAGCATTCATTATTTTAAAACCTAGAAAAAACCCTGAAGCTGTTGACATCAGTTATTACACAGACTGAGCAAATAAATGAGACCATATAACCTATTAATGTCAGGACCCAATTAGGGATGTAAGCGACTAGAGACTCGACTCATCAACTATCCAATAAGCAAATGCTTCTCAGATAGTCAACTAATCACTTCCTTCCACTTGCTGCCTTTATCAAAAAGAGGCAGCGGGGGGCGGGGGCAGGATCCGGTGCTGTGGGGGGAGGTCGGCTTAAAAGCCGGTTCCCCCTACCACCGTCTCTGTGCAGAGAAAGGGCAGGGGCTCAGTGGGGAACTGGTGGTTTTTCCACCTTTGAAATGTAGTAAGAACAGGGCTCTTGGTACATTTCAAAAGCAGAAGTGCTGCAGGGACTCAAATAGTCCTCTGCTCGCTCCGTCCTCCCTGCTTTTGAAATATAGAAGAGCCCCAACAGGGTTCTTGCTACATTTCAAAAGCAGAGGCGCCTTTATCAACTAATCAAATAGTCGATGCAAATTACATCAACTATTCAATTAGTTAATTAATCTAAATTTAATATCTTTAGGCCCAATGTAACAGTATTAAAATATATTAATATTTTAAGTAAATGAACTTGTACCTGCATAAAGGAGTTTTCGAATGCAATGGATCTGCTGTGAAACACAAGCTACATATAGAGGTGTTCCCAGATGAGGAATGTCTTGGTCAACATCTATGCCCCAGGAGATCAGCACTTCCAGACATTCACTATGACCTGCCAAAAGAGTATGACATAGTTTGCTTGCCTCTTGAGTTGGACGTTCCATTTACGAAACCTGATACATTTCGTAACACTATGTAATGTTATTTGTCAACTGTTCTATGTATGCTGTATGTTCTATGTGTGCTATTTTTTTACCTCTACTGGCTGCTTCATGAGTTGGTGAAAGGAGACATGACTCCCACTGAGCTTTGGCACCATATTCCAACAAAAGCTCTGCACAAGACGTACTACCTCTTGAACATGCATTAAATAACGGAGTCACTCCATCAATTGTTGTAGCATTTACCTAGAATAGAAAGATATTTCTAAGATGGGAATGCAGTAAGGGATGCATGTTATGGAAAATTCTGTTAGCACTCCCCTATCTCTATCATCCTATAATTCTTTCTTAGTATTCCACAAGCTCTAAAGTTATTACTATGAGGAATTAGTCTTCTACTCTACACATACCCTCAAAACCCCCTAAATTTAAAATAATTAAATTGATATATATTTTTAAAAATGTGGACTCTCCATTTTAAGGAATTTCTCTGGAAGCTTTACTGTTGGATACGTGTGTGTAAAGGTAGCTTATACCATCAGAAATGAAGAAGCATACCTAAATACGTTTCTTATGCTTTTATTTGTAAATCTTGTGTTCCCTTTTCCCTGTTTCCCTCACTGTTGCTCTCCCTTGCTATGTCTTGTTTCATATTTAGAATATAAACTCTTTGGTAACAGAAACATTATTTTTCTCAGTTTTGGAGGAAATATGTATGGCTGCTGTGGAAACAATACATTTGTGGGTTCTCCGTTGTTGTTTTTTTCTTATCTATTTTCTGTTCTCTTGTCTGCCCATCTTCTGTGTGGTATCTTATCCTATCCACACGTTTTACGTAATCTTCTCTCTCCTCTCTACATCTACAATTTTCTCTGTCCTCCACTATGCAACTATCCCATCATTCTCTTTTGCTGTCTATCAGTAAAGACTTTAAAATAATCAGCTATTACTTTTAAAAAACCATAAAAGACAAACCTGTTATTAACAAAGGAAACTAACATATTGAATCAGGGAAAATGTGGAAATGATAGCTTTGAAAAAATCAAGGAATATGTCTTTATCAGACAAGCTTAGTGCAGTACTTTACATATAAAAAAGATACTTACATTTGCTCCTGCTTCAAGAAGGATTCTTGCACACCCTACATGGTCTCCCAGGCAGGCTTCATGCAGTGGAGTGACTTGGTCAATTGTCAGAGTATCCACATTGTAACCCTAAATAAAATAGGAGCCGCACAGAAAGCTAAGAGAAAAAAGCTATTCGAAACGGCTAAGTTTTCTACATTATTAGTTGCAAGCACCACAATTTATTAGAGCCGAGTGAATGAAGAATTTTTCAGTTTTCTGGCAAGTAAAAAAAATTTAAAAATAGTTTCAGGTTGAACAAAAACAACATTTTACAAATTTTTCAGTGAATCAAAAATAATTTAGTTTTGATTCAAAATGTTTCATTTCAGTAATATTGAAACAAAATGTTTTGTTTCATCCTGAAAATGTTAAATAAAATGTTCAGGTATTTTGATAAAAGTAATAGAAAGTAGGAGTTAATTTACAAACAAGGAGAGGAGGAAGATAGTCTGCTGTCAGTGTACCTTCTTATAAGCTTTATCCACTAATTAGGGGAGTCAGCTTGGAAGCCCAGATTCAATTCCTCTCTCTTTGTGCTGTGGAGAAGGGATTTGAATTTAGGTTTCCTTTGTATCACGAAATTCCTAGATACTGG